TTGTGAATTTTTCATCAGTAATTAGCCTTAACTACAATCTTTCTCACTACAAAATATTGTAGTTTACCAAGAAAGAAGATGAATAGGCTCAGATTTTAAACATCTAAAATGGGTTGGTAATTCAGGGTGCATTTTCCTCTGAATGCCTTTCATTTGATCCCTTTTCATTAGACATAAACTAGATTATTTTTAGTTAGTGTCTCTCTCTGCACAGAAGTAGACTGTTGTTTGTTTTGGCTGACTAACACATATGACTTGAACCTTGATCGTTACCTGGTATTTGTCAAGTACACCTGTAAACAGGTCTACTTAGTATTTGTGAATCCAGTGTAATTGCTTTAGATGAGGCCCTGAAATGAAATTAAAAGTGCTTTGAGCCTTGTCCCTGGTGGGCACCCTTCTCAGAACTCACGTGTGCCACGCTGGGACAGGCCTTGGAGAAAGCAGGCTGTGTGTGCAGCATTGTGCAGTCTCTGCTTGTTTAACCTGTGATGTCAGGAGCTGGACCCAGGGGAGGCCTGTGACTACACTCTCAGGAGTGGAACAAAAGATTGTCTTGGCACCCAGTAATGGCACCCCGGCTGTTGAGCTGAAGAATCTGCAAGTGTCTAGCGGCTTGTACAGGGCACATCATTTCAATCTTACATCGAGGGGCCAGGTATTATCTCTTGCTCTGAAGAAGTACTTTTTGTGTGCTTTTCCCCCCATCAGGTGTGAAAATCACCAAGTGCCTTATGTTGCAATCTGTTGGCATAATCCAGATAGTTCTCTCCTTTCACAGATGCAGAAATGAAAGCACACAGGCAGATGAGGGGTGGGGGTTGTGCCTCATTGTTTGCAATAGTGCTTTTCCCAAATAGCTTTAGATAAGACAAGTTTTGTAAGATTACCTCATTTTAATCTTAGTTGTGCCTTTATTTTCTAAAGGAGTCCCTTTGCAATGTGGACAGAGTTTGTAGCAATAATACATATCCTCCTCCAAAACAATTTTAAAAATCTTGGTACAACACATTTTCTTAAATGGAGCCACCCACTTGGGACCCCTGAAACCAGTTCAGCCTGAAGAGCTAGTTCCTCCCTGGAGAGCCAGACTCTGGAGCCGGGTGGGCTGGGTTGGAATTCCTGGCTCTGCTACCTGATAATACTTACCTCTCTCTGCCTCAGTTTCCTCCATGGGAAATAGGAAACTAGGGATAATTTCTTCGTAGGGTTGTCATGGGGATTAAATAAATAGCACATGGAAAAGCTGAAATCACTGCCAGGAATGCATGTCAGGTGCTAAGTGAATGTCTGAGTCAGTATAAGAAGGCTTCAGAATGGTCCTTTGTTCCCTTGAAAGAGAGGGGGTGGTGGTGGGAAAGACTTACTCTGGTCGGAGGAGTTTTATGACTTAGTTCATATGAAGCTATCAAGGAAGTAACCTAATCTGGAAGAGCATGGTAAAAAAAAAATTAGGAAACTGTAGCGCCAACTTTCTAAGTTCAAGGTGACCATAACAGACCTTCCAAGTCTTAGTGCCTTTATAAAGTACAGGCTCATGCATTGCTTATGTGTCAGGCAGACCAGAGTGGTCAGGTAGTTCCCCTCAGTGTGGGGATTCGGGATCATCCCTTGGCTTTGCTGTATTGGAGTCCTTCACTTCAGCTATAAGGATGATGGAGAGAGAAAGAGGGAGGCAGAGAAGGAGAGGGGAGAGAGGGAGAGAGAGAAGAAAAGGGGTGGAGAAAGGGAGAGGGAATATATTTTATTGATTTCAGAGAGAAAAGGAGAGAGAGAGAGAGAGAGAGAGAGAGAGAGAGAGAGAGAGAGAGAATATGAGAGAATGAGAGTGGGTAAATGAATGAGATAGAATCTGAGCCAAGGATCTTACAAAGGATTGTAAGGACCAAGCAAGGAAGTGGCAACACACCATTTCTCCTCCTATTCCATTGGCCAGAACTAGTCATCACATGGCTCCAATCTACCTGGGGGGTTCTGGGAAGTCAATTCTCCCCATGTGCCCTGTAATAAGAAGCCGGAAAGAGGAGTATCCAGGTCATTTCTGGCACAGCTGTTAACCATATGACACATTTTATGCTAGTGGCAGATATTTTCTGTTATTAATTTGTACACTTCACTGTAAACTATTTCTGAAATTCTGTATAATGCCAGAAGCCAGGTAGGACTCAAGGGAATTTACAATCATTAAGTTTGTTTCTTATTTTAGAAATTTTCAGGAAGTCAGGACATCTCCTGAGACATCTACTTCTGAACATTTTACTGCTGGGCAGTTAGCCAGTAAACAAGGACTTTCGGTGAAGTTCCTGACAGGCAGGTTTCTGGTAATGAGTAAGTTTTTGTGCTTTGTTTCCTGCTGGTGGTCAGTAAATGACAAAAAACAAAGAAGTTAATGATCCTGTTGTGATTGAAATTACAAGGGACAATCTAAGAGTAGAAAATTTTAAGAAACTGCTCTTTAATAAATATGGCTCATTATTGCAACTAGTGTTTGTACTCAGCTATGATGAGAGGGATGATGGCAGCATTCTGTGACATATCATCAAATAAAGAGACTTACTTCTGCAGGTTTATTAATAATATTTCACTTAAGCAGTTATTTTGAATCATAACTGGCCTCTGCGCAGATCGAACAGTTTATTTATGAGCAAACCTGGGAGAGTTTATAGCTATAGGGACACACCTTGTGCCCCCATAGCATTAAAACAGGCTGCCTTCAGCATGCTTAACTACGCTTCCGGGCAATATATACATCATGTTTTGTAATGTTTCATAGTTCTGTGAATTGATTTCCAATCCCGTTTCTTCAACCAGGGTTCAGACGTTTAACACAATTCAGAAGTAATGTAATGTAAAGGTTGATCATTTGATGTCTCCAGCATCAGACTGAGTTTATACCCCAATTCTGTCACCCAGTCACTATGTGACCTTGGGCACTTTCATTGTCTGCTATGGTGTTTCTGGTAACAAATAGCAGACTGGATGGCTTAAACCACAAGTGCTCATTTTCTCACAATTGAAGTCTGAGATCAAGTTTTAGCTGGGTGGTTTCTTCTGAGGCCTCTCTTCTTGACTTGTACATCGCTGTCATCCTGTGTCTTCATGTAGTCTTTCCTCTGTGCATGTCTAGGTCCAAATTACCTCCTCTTATAGGACACTAGTCATATTGGATTAGGGACCTTCCAAATGTCCTCTCCAAATACAGTCACATTCTGAGACACTGGTGTTGGGACTTCAACATAGAAATTTGGGGAGATACATTTCAGCCTATAACAGGCACTTTTAGTTCTGCCCAATCTGCAAAATGGGTTTATAAAAGTACTTTATAGCACTGTTGTGAGTATTTAAAGATATGATGGATGCCAATTGCTTAGAGTAATACATGGTATATAGTGAGCACTCACTAAATAGAAGTATTTTTATTATAATCATAAATCTTATTATATGTACCCATGTCATCTATCCCAATTGGGAGATGGTTGAATGCCCAGACTTTCAGTTATTGAGGCCCGGGATTAGTATAGTCTTTCTTGTGCCCCCATAGCATTGGAACAAGCTGCCTTCAACAGAGCAACCGGGTAGAAGCCCAGATGTTGTGATCAAGTGGACGGGTATGGATATTGTGCTAAGGGTTTCTGAGTAGACTTCTTTGGTGTTAGGTATCAGAGATGGCTGTGAAATGCTCTCAGATGTCCTAATTCCTGTAATGGTCTGCCCAAAAGTTTTCCCAGACCTAGATAAACTCCTGGGGAAGAGTAATCTGTCTATGTGTGACAAGGGCAAGAGACAGACGACTTTTTATATTGTCAGGGGAGTAACTATAAAATTACAGCGGTAGATCGCTGAAAGAGAGAATTATCCAAGCACTGGAGATGATTTTTAAGGAATGCACTGTGTGAATGAGGTTAGCATGCTTGTGATTATACCTGTCCCACACAGGTCTAGACAGATGAGAATAGGTAGAATTCTATAATGTTGATATTATGGTAAGTTATCATCTTGGGCCCAAATAAGTGCCTGTTATCTCAATTCCTGACTATTTTTTTCCAACTGACATAAATGTTCCTTCTTTTAAAAAAGAGCTGCTATTGTCACAACACCGTCACAGCTCATGTTACCCATTAGCAAGCACGGTTCTCCACCACCGTCAGAGAAAGCAGGTCCCATGGGCTCTCATGGAGTCTGCTGTCCCAGAGGGACAACATGCCGTCAGTCCAGAGAACCTTTGGATGTGCCCCGGAGTCTCAGCTGCAGTGATGGCAGTTCATTGCTGCAGGCACGTCATGCACGGTCCAAACTGGATCCTTAGCTCATCAGCTCCTAGACTTGAGTCAAGGGCATGCTAGCCAGCTGCCCTGCCTTACAATTTCTCTTTTGAAATGACTGAGAAATAGTTGACTTTTAAGAAGTTATTAAGCAATGAGTAGAATGATTGTCACTTCTAAATACATACATAAGTGTGAATTTATATGAAGTAATTTTTAACTGACCATACAATAATAGGTATATGTACTCTTATGATCATAAAATCTGAAATACATGCTTACTAGGGACTGGTGGAACATGGAATTAAGTAATTGTTTTAGTGTTACCTAACTTTTTCTCTATAAATCTATTTACCTTTCTATTAAAGAAAACCCAACATTGACTGAAAAAAAATCCTTCCCTATCAACACCTTCATATGCATTTCCACTACTCCACAGTTCTCCACCTTCTACTACTAAATCATCACTTAAAAATCACATTGTGCAACCTAACTCTATGCAATTTTATGTGTTAGTCATATCTCAGAAATGCTGGAAAAACTATAAGGTTGCTGGTCCATTGTAAAAAAAACCGTGGAGAATAATTAACAACATCTCTGACTATGCCCCTCCCATGAGGTCATTCTGTTATTGTTGCCTTTTTCTTCTTTGGTTCTTTACTTACGTGTCTCTCTTGTAAAAGTGAAAATTTGCCTTTTAATTTTTCACCTGGTTTAATGTCACTTTTTTTTTTTAAGGAAAGAGCAAGTTAGTACCTTGTATCAAAACATCAACCTTGTGGAGCCGAGACTGATTCAGCCGTATGAACACGTTATCAAGAACTTCATCCGTGAGATCAAACTTCAAAGCACAGAAATGGAAAGCCTGGCCATCGCGGTGAAGAGGTATTGAAGTCCTTACTTTTTAAGTGGCACATGGGGTCCTGGAACTGGCTCCCTGACCCAGGGGCCACGTGGACTGAACTGCATTGTCACACTGGGGCATGGGAGGACTTCCTGATCCTCGGGAATCTGGGGCCTTCTGAACTGAGCAGCATGAGGGAAGTTGAGGCAAGCAGTACCGCCCCGGGTCAGTCAGCAACCCGTCAGCAGGTCACTGTGAAACTGTCATTTAAACTCTTCAGGGTCATGATTCCATACAGAGCACTTCAGAGAGATGTGTTATCTTCTGTCCAGCCACTTGAAACGTAGGGGAAACTTTTCATCCGGAGAGGCAGGCAGGGCTGTGTTTGAAGCCTGGCCCTGTCACTGATCTGTGTGTGCCTGGATGGGTTCCTTAGTCTCCCTGAGTCTCAGCTTCTGCATTTGCAAAACGAGGCTGTAAATATTCCCCTCCTCAGGGGGTGGAGACTTAATGGAGGTCTTCATGGGGGATGCCCCTCGCACCGGGCCTACGGAGGGTGGATGCTCAGCGATGCTGCTTTCCCCTGTCTGGCCCTCCTTACCCAACTGAAAGGCTAAGCGAAGCTAAGCCCTTAGTCATACAGCCCGTTTGTGGAAGGCACAGCTGCTTACACAGGATATCTTACTGCCTTTAACAGCAAACCGGTAAGGTAATGAGAACATAAGGAATGCCATACAGTGCAAAGCAGAATTCTATGTGTTGCAATCCAAACATCGGCCTCTTTGCTTCCTGGAAGGGCCACACTGCTTTGGCATAGGTTGGGAAGGAGACATTTTGTTTGTCACATTCCTGGTTCACCCCACAGAGGCTTCTTGCTGCAGTGTGTTTCTCCAGCAGCTCCGAGCCCTTTGGATAGGATGCCCCAGCTCCATGGCGCAGGCCAGGGCTGCTCCTCTGTCTGTTCTTTCCTTCAACACAATTATTAGACTATCCAGTTGACCCTTTGAAGTAACCAGAGTGAAAAATGTAGAAGAGAACATGTTGTAGAACACTGATGTTAAGTAGGATTATTTTTAGAGTCCCAGAGTCATGCAGAAGTTGAACTGTTCTCAGGGGGTTGTTCATGAACATGATCACTTCCTGGCTCTGATCCTCTCCCTCGGGTCTGCTGGGGCCTTGCAGTAGATGCTCTCAGAACTCTCGATTCTCTGGAGCATGTGGAGATCAGTCAGGGCCCCAGGTTGGCCTCCTTTGAGAGAGGACTAGCAGACACACATAGTGAGTTTTCAGAACGTCCAGTTAGTACTTGTTAAAATAGACAAACTCTCATGTATACACACAGGTACACATATACAGACTCACAGAAAGATATGCAGGACACACACACACACACACACATACACACGCTCAAGCACACATGGCCTCTAAGGCAGTACCAGGTAAACACATTAGGGAAAAACGGAATGGCATTCTTTATGTTCTCATTACCGGTGCTGCTCTCAGCTGTGGAGTATGTCACATGATGTTGAGCTGTCTTGATGCTTTTCTCCTCCCCCATCCTGTGCTCTCTGGGTAAGATCCAAAGTCAGGCTCTGCCCTGAGCTCCGGGCCTCCTAAAGGCCCCTCTTAGCTGTTAGACGCCTCACTGACGCATTTATATGACCACTGTGGACATTTCCTTACAGTCCTCGCTAAGGCCCCTTCATCCTCACCTCTATTTTTTAATTGGGGTAGAGTCTTGGTCTGTATTTACACCTGAAGAATGGGTACCCAGTGTTCTGGTAGGGGCCCTGGACTGGGGTAAAGTAGACATTCCCAATACCCTTGACATTTTCCTAGGAATTGCTGGGGCAAACACTATCGTTATAGCCTGAACAATGAAAAAGAGTAAAAGTTGCTCAGAAGTGAGAAAAGATGAAGGAACACATTCAGAAGCAGCCCAGGTACCCAGATGTTTGGGACAGGATGTCTAGAAGGAAGGACTAGAAAAACTGGTCCTAAGAAAGGGAGAAATGGATATATGGCATCGCTCTTAACAGTTTCAGGGTTCATCGAAAAATAAGCAAACCCCAACACCCACATTGCTATGTGAGACTTTAGGTAGAAATTAAACTAATGCACCAACAAATTGCTTCGCAAGGAAGTAAGAGCAGGTGAGATGGTGTAGCAGAAGCCAGCAAACTGGAGGATGGGAGATCTTCTACTCAGGTCCTATTCCCTACTGTTTATTAACTGCATGTCACTGGTCCAGGTGAACCAACTCTAAATCTCCTGGTGGCTGCTTTCATGTCACTTATAATCTAGTTGAGTAGGCAAGATATATGAGTGTGAAATGTAGATACTTGGACATATAGCTGAGAGAGAATGAAAAATAATTGTGTTAGGGCTCACTCAGAAGCCTCAACCATTGTAGAGTGGCAGATGTCTCCATACTGGGCAATTGCTACGTAAAACTTTCCTGAAACTCTTCTCAACAGACTTCTCCCATTTCTTACTTTTTTGTCAAATCAGTATGTTCTGCCTCCATAAAAATATAATTAATTGATTACATTAATAAAAGAAATTTTCTAACAGGTAACTATCTACATTTATAACTTTAAGGAATTGATTAGTAACAATTGCTGAGTTCCTTCCTTTCCCTTCTTCCAGCTGTAGCATATAACAGTGTGTGTTTCATATAATGAAATTTCAAACCATCTCTTTGCCATGGAGCGCTTTCTTTTTCTTTGGTCTAGGGTTCTAGCTCATCAGGACAGCAAAAAGGATTTTCAGAATTTATTGGCAGCTTCCCTGTTGTTTAGTATCTTTATCAGTTCTTTTCCACAGTTTAGTTGAATGCCATTTTATTTAATCTATTCAGTTTATTTAATATCTAGTTTTAATGTTCTCTTACATTCAAATGGTCACCTTGCTAACCTCATTTTATTATGTGGAAGGCACAGCAATTATTATTTTGAATGCTGGATTTCTCCTCATTTATAAAATAAAAGGCTTGAGATTGATTAGTGGAAGTTTTCCTGTTACCAGTTTAAGAGGAGAATGAAAAGATGTGCATCACCCCTTGACTTTCAGAGCCCAGGACAAGGCAGCCATGCAGCTGAGTGAGTTGGAGGAGGAAATGGATCAGAGGATTCAGGCTGCAGAACACAAGACTCGGAAAGACGTGAGTGTGTGGGGTTCATTCATTCAGTGAGTTCTTACGGACAGGGCACTGGGCCACCTCTGGGTGTAGCATGTACAGGAATCGAACTGCAACCTTTCAGTGCATGGGCCGATGCTCTTACCACTTAGCACCACCAGCCAGGGCTAGGCATATTTCTTTCAGTAGCTAGTGTTAGGTTTTATTTTTTTTAGAAAAACATGTCATCTTTTTCCTACTCATTTGTCCTGTTAACTCTCAGAGGCAGCAAGAAGAGTGAAAAGGGCCTGAGTGCTGGTGTTCATAGACCTTAGTATGCCTTCTGGCTCTGTCCTGTGTAGGCTATAGATGGTGCTGGGAAAATAGCCTGACCTGAGCCTTTGTGGTCCCAATTCTGGAAATGGCCATGTATGTACAGTCATGTGGTTACTTCCCCCCTCCCTTTGTAGGAGACTTGGGATCATTTTTAGTTTGACACAAGACATGTATCACCTGTGCTTTTGAAGAGCCTATTTAAATCAAATTAACTTTTTTTTTTTCCTTCTAGGAAAAACGCAAAGCTGAGGAAGCCCTCAGTGACCTCAGGCGTCAGTATGAAACGGAAGTAGGGGATCTACAGGTGACAATAAAGAAACTGAAAAAGGTAGGTATGTGGAAGCAAGACTTTTAGGAATAGCTCCAAGATATCAGTGTGTCTGAGTTATAGGTAACTAGAAACATTTGGAATCACTTTGAAGCAGCAGGTGGAATCAGATCTCAGAATCAAATTGGACTCTGTGGCAAGACTTTTATGTTTCCAAAGGCATCCCTTCTTTTGCATAGATCTATGTGGGAGCACATTAAAGGCTGTAAAGAACTGTAGAGAAGTTTACACAGTTGTTGTAATCGCAATTACCTAAGCCATTGATGCTGAGAAACTCATTTTGCCGACTCAGTTTTTCTTCTCTGAAGTTGGCGTGCATTTTAAAGTCAAGGGCTCATCTCACAGTCAGCTGTGTGCAGTCAGGACATAGTGTGTGAAACCTTCAGCTGAAAGATGAAGAAAGCCCAGTGTCAGAGTACTTAGACTTAGACTCAATGGCATAAGGCATTCATTTTGATCAGTGCATAAATATTCAGTTAATGGACACCCA